GTGCCTGCAATCTGGGAGGGAGTGCGCGTTCACGCGCCAACGCACGCGTGGATGCAGTCCTGTGGGGGTACCTGAAGTCCGGGCGGGGCACCTGTAGCCCGGGTGTGGGGTACCTGTAGTCTGCGGGGGGGGTACCTGCAGTCCCTTAAGGGGGCTACCTGCAGTTCGGGGAGGGGGGTACCTGTATAGTCCTGGGGGTACCTGCAGTCCGGCGACCCAGAACTGAGGAGGGACACATATCAGGAGGGGAAAAAACACACAGACACAATTATTCGTCGATCCCTAGGAAAATATGGGAAAATATGGGAAGTGGTGGGGAAGACAAAAACCTAGAAAATATGAGAAAATATGGGGATTTTTTTAATTTGTGTGTATTTATTTGTGTGTCCCAGTTTCCCTTTAACACAAATCCGTTCCGGAGCGCTTTGCTCGCTATGCGGTATAGACGGGTCCTGAGGCTGTCTCCCGCCGCTCTCGGGCCCTCGGGGCCCTCCACGGGCGCCGGGCGTGTCAGGAAGCGACCCAGGATGAAGAGCCGGTCCCGGGGCAAAGCCCTGGGGTCCAGGTCGGGCGCGGCGTCGTTCGAGCAGGGGATCTCCCCAGACCCCCTCGCGTCGTGACAGGGGCCCCGGCGGGTTTTTTTTTTTGTTCGCTGCTGCCGGCCTCTGGGGGCCCCAGCTGTGCCTCGGGACGGTCGAGCCACGCCTCGGGACGAAGGACCAGTCCCCAGGGGGAAGGGGGTCGGGACCTCTCGTCGGGGGCGGAAAAGAGGAGGGTGATGACTAGGGGGGGGTGGATCTCATGGCGGGGGCCCTGAGATTTCCCCAGATCTCCTGGCGCCTCTTCTTATTTCATGACGTCCCTGGCCCCTCCGCTGGGGCGCGCACATGCCGCCGGTCATGATTTGCACCCCCCCCTCTTGGACACCCCCCTCTTGGCCGCTCCCGATCTAGGGATCGGCGTGGTGAAAAAATCACGACGGCGTGGGAAATCAATCGAGTCGGGGAAACGTAAGGCTCGAGTAAGCCGGAGCTCAGGTTTGCCGGCGTTTTTTGACGAGCGCGTCCTGGATTTTGACGGTCCGATGTTCGTGGGCTGTTTGCAGCGGGAGTTCTCTTCAAGTTTCAGATTGGGTCTCGTCAGTTTCATTATGGTGCCGTCAGGCCAACCCGAGTCTCCCGTACCCGAGTCTTACGTCTCCTCGATCTAGGCCTCCCAGATGAGGTCGGAGGATCGCGTCGCATCGCCGATGCAGCTGCGATGCGTCTCGGTGCGGACGGAGTGCGACGAGTGTCTCCGCGCAGACGTGGCCGATGCATTGCCGACGTCGCCGGTGCGTCGCCGATGCATCGGCGATGCGGCGCGATCTTGCGACCCCATCTACTCGGACCCCATGTGGGAGGCCTCTAGGGATCGACTACAGAATCGCTGTACCCCAGACTTGACTGTCTCGTCGAATCTGCGAAGGATGCGTGGCATGTGCCGCCGACCTACGGATCCTGCCACGCACTTTTTCCCAGATTCGACGGTCAAATCAATTCTGGCTTGCGCGGTGGGGAGTGAATCAGTCAAGACGCTGAAGTAATGGCGCGCTTCTGCAAGCTCGCCCAAACGTCTGGGGACCCTTGACCATGATATTTGATGCTCGAAGCGACGAGAGTCTAGGCCTTCCACACCTGGTGCGAGCAGATGGGGTCGGAGGATCGCGACGCATCGCCGATGCACTGCGGATGCGGCTCAATGTGGATCCCGACGCTCTCCACCCTGACGTCGCCAATGCATCGCCGATGCGTCGCCGATGCGGCGCGATCCCCCGAGCCCATCCACTCGCACCCCAGCTGGGAGGCCTCCAGGGATCTGGTCCGAAGGGCGCCCCTCGGCGCCGAGGCGTCGGGGGAGCGGCGCGCTCAGGCCCCCCCCGGGCTCTGCACTGCGAGCTCCCCTGCGCGGCAGGTCCGCCCGGCCCCGCCGTCACCGCAGGCAGTGGCCGCACGGGGCCCGGCTGGCAGTCTGCAGAGCGTCTGGAGCGCAGTCGTGAAGCCCAGACCTCCGAGGAGCAGGCTTCTATGATCGGGGAAACGTAAGACTCGAGTGAGCCGGAACTCGGGTTTGCCAACGTCCAACGCTTTTGACGAGGGCGTCCTGGATTTTGACGGTCCAGTTTTCGTGGGATGTCTGCAGCGGGAGCCTGCGTCAAATTTCGGATTGGGTCTCGTCATTTTTATGATGGCCCCGTTGGGCCCAACCCGAGTCTTCCGTACCCGAGTCTTACGTCTCCCCGATATGAGGCTCAGGAGCCGGGCGAAGGCTGGCCACTTCGTGGCTTCTAACGGGGTGCTCCGGGGCATTGGTCCTCTCTTCCGGGGAGCAGCCCTTTTTGTTATTGAGTGCGCTGAGTTTGATTCCGGGGACCGGGGACGTTTTTTTTTTTTTTTTTTTTTTTGTTTTCCTTCCGGGAGGACGGTTTTAACCGCCACGGATTTGCCAGCCTTCGCCCAACTTCTAAGAAGGCGCTCCAAAAAGGGCCTCTCGAGGATCGAAGGAGTTGCCATCTCTTCCTCGGCGGAAGGCGGCGGAAGTAAGCCAGGGCCGGCTCGGCCGGCGGAAGCCGGCGGAAGGCCGGCGGAAGCCAGGGTCTTTTTGGGGCCTCGTGGGGCCTCGTGGAGGCATCTTCGGGCCTCCCAGGGGGCTTCTTGGGGCGGAATGCTCGGATTGTCGGTTCGTGTTCCCCATGTAGGCCCCTTTTGGGGCAGTCTTTGGGCTCTCGCGGGCCGTCTTGGGCGCCTCTCGGGTCTTTGTGGGGCCCTCTTGGGCCGTCTTGGGGCTCTCTTGGGGGCCTCTTGGCCCGTCTGGGGGCGGTGTTGGAGGCCTTCGAGGCCATTCTGGAGCGTCGGAAGTCCGAAATCGGGAGAACGCGAACAACATTGAAGCACACAATGCACACGTAATTTTTGTATCTTGAGGCGTTCTTAAGAGTCCTCTTGGAGCGCTCTTGGACCGTCTTGGGGACATCGTGAGCGTCTTGAAGCGCTCTTGGGCGTCTTGGAGGCCTCTCGGACCCTCTTGGGCGCTTCTTGGGGCCCTCTTGGACCATTTTGGGGCTCTCGGGCAAAGAAAGTATGAGCAGCGAGTGCGCATGCTCCGAGATTAGCAGAGCAGCGCTCTGCGAATGAGAGGAGGAGCAGTGAACGCGCACATGCTCTGGGGCCGATTCGCAGAGCGGCGCTCTGCTAATCAGAGCCCGAGCAGGATAAGACACCCTGCTTTGACGCCGATTCGCAGAGCAGCGCTCTGCGAACGATGACAGAAGCATCGAGCGCGTATGCTTTGAGGCAGACTTAGCAGAACGCCGCTTTGCGAATTGGAGCCCGAAGAGTCCGAGGATGAGGGGACCCAGCCCCTGGAATACTGGCATGCAGGACTCGGGGTAGAGACCAACTATAAAACCTGGGGGAAAAAACTCCCCTCGCGCCTCGCGGCATCGGTGGCGGACAGATGCCCTCTACCAGGCAGGCTTTGGCATTCTTCCACGCCCCAAGGACCACAAGGCACGGTGGCGGATCAATATCTCAAACGCTTCGCGCGTTCCGCCAGCTCTTGTTGCAAAGCAGTTGCGACATGCTTAGGGGGTCGCGGAGTATAGGACTCGGACAATTCTGGGGCGTTGGTAGCGTTCCCCTCTCTAGTTTGTGGTGTCTGCGTTGGGGAAGCGTGGTCATGTTTCCATGCATGGAGGTGCGAAGGCGGTGTTTGGGGCAGTCTGGGTCTTTTGGGAGGCCTCTTGGGGACCCTTGGCCTACTTAGAGGAGGCCTCTGGTGAGCTTCTGGGGACTCTTGGCCTACTTAGAGGAGGCCTCTTGGCCTACTTAGCCTTGGGGGCTCTTGGGGACCCTTGGCCTACTCAGAGGAGGCCTCTGGTGAGCTTCTTGGGGCCTCTGGGAGCGCCCTCGGGTGCAATCCTCGACGCCTCCCAGCGGTTTGGTTCGCCCTCGTGTTGTGTATGCAGGGCACGGGCGGTGGCCCGACAGAGGGCTCATTTTGGGCCCTCGTTGGCTTTCCAAGGGTGCGGTCAGAGCCCTCTACGGGCAAGTATCAGGAGGGAAACAACACAGACACAATTAATCGTCGAGTCCCAGGAAAATATTGGAAAATATGGGAACTGGGGGGGGGGGAAGACAGACACCCAGAACATAGGGGAACATATGGGGCATAGTTTTATGTGTGTGTATTTATGTGTGTGTTCTGGGGCCCCTTTAACGTATTCTGAATATTGGAATTGTCTTGGGGCCGCATCGGTGCCGAGCTGAAAATCTGTTTGGGGTTTCGGGAAAGGCAGCATGCGAACGCTACCGCAAGCCAAGAGTGCGTGCCCGCTCGCGTGATGCGTGTATGGTGGCGTGCGCGTTTGCGCGTGTGTGTTATTGATTAGTTCTCCCCCCCTGCGGACCTCAGAGTGTTGGCCTACCTTGGTTTCATATTCTGATGCAGCCATCTTGAATTCTCTGGGGGCCACCTTGGACCAAGCGTGGATCACGGTGTGCAGCCGCTGCGCCGTCGGGCTGTCCTTGCCCCGAAAATTCGCCCGGAGCTTCTGCGGTGGACCTCCTCTGAAGGCGGCCTCGGAGCGCACGCCAATGTGCCACAGGGCGCCCCCCCAGGAGGCGAGATGATGAAAGTCGCGGGCGATGTTTCTCCCCCAATCCCCGAGTTTCGCCCGAAAAGTCTGGCCGCTCAGAAGAATGGGAAAACCCTGGGATACACCCCAAGGGGGCTATTCGGACGCACCCCTATCGAGAATGGACACCCCCCCATCGTATATCCCAGGGTTAGGCCCCAAATTTCTGGTCCATTCGGAAACCCCACGAAGCCTGGGATAGGGGTCGACATATCCCCTGTTAGAAAGTCATGTTATCCAGGCGTGCGATAGTATCGCGCCACAAGAGTGACACCAACAATGGAAGAAAGGGGCTCGACGCATACCAGCCGTTGCGCAGCACGGTGGCGGGTCATGGTGTCCTTGTACCGATTACGTCCAATGTTTAGTGGAACGCAGAAAGGTTCGCCAACGCAATAGACATTTCATTGCGTGCACAGGGATTCATGGCGGGCGCACGCGTGCATGATCACCTTGCGCCCTTAGTTGTTTTTGGCGCGAGTCCATCACGGTCGGGGCGGATAGCAGCAGCTTGGTTCGCTTTGTGGTAGTTCTCCGTTGGGCGCCCACCATATTTTGGTACATGGCAGCGTTATTCCGTTATCTGACGGCCTTCTTTCTCAATTACAATGTCGGACGGGGGTCGCTTGTGATCACCCTCGTCGCATCATGTCTGATCTTACTGAGCATGACGTTATCATCTCTACCGCATGGAGTAGGGAGTTACATTTCTAAAGCTTTGACATGTGGTGTCCTAGCAATTGCCATCTCGTCTTACATTTCTCTAAGGGCGTTCGACAGCAACAGAGTATTCATAGGAACGGGTGCGACTTTACGCCGCGTGTTCGAGAGCATGCGAACAGCACATCGGCCACCACGGCCTCCTTTTTGGGCGTATGGTTGCCACGTGCAGTTTGCACCCTGGATCATATATAATGTCATCGCGGCAAGTTTTGCGCCATTGCGTTACGAGAAGCAGATTTTCCGCGTGCGCGGACTTGAAGATAAGACGAAACCGGAGAGCAAACGTAACCCCCGAAGCATGACCGATGACGTTATTATCAATTATTTCCCGCCAGTCTCAGTCGCAGCGGACCCTGTGCTCCCATTGGATGCGCCCGTGATATTGTTCGAGCTTGGTCTCACGTGCACCGCGCAAGACATTCCCGGGTCCTCTTTGCCGCGTCGCGCTGTCAGCCGCGGTTTCCGTGTCGTGGTAATTGAGCGCAGGGGCCATGCGCGTGCATTGCAGAAGCCGCGCTGGAATTTGTTTGGGGACTCGGACGACCTGGAGCAGATTTACAACGTGGTTCGAGGAAGGTTTCCGAGCGCTCAGTTCTTCTACGTGGGGATTTCATCCGGGAGTAAGTTGCCGATTGAGGCCGTGGGTAAGTTTGACGAACGCCGCAGGCATGGTGACATGTCCGCGCCAAGCTTTTTAGCCACCTCCTGCTTATGTCCTGGTTACAATCTCGAAACGTGCTTCATGGGGTTCAAGTTCCCCTACAATTACATTTGTCTTTCCAGCGTGAAAAGCAAGTTCTTGCATGAGAACGAACGAATCTTGCGTAATTACGATGCAGCCAGCTATGAGAAGGCCGTGGCGTCGGGCGATCTGCAGTCTTTGCTCTCTCATGCGGCACGTTTTGCAGGTTATTCATGTGCAGAAGAGTATTTCGCTGCAGAGAATCCAGTGCTTTTTGCGGCACAGATTACAACGCCGACTCTGATCATCAATTCGTTGGATGATCCATGCACGGTGCCTCAAAATGCCTTCGGGACGATGCCAAGAAGCACGGACGGTTTGACTTTTGCGGATATGGTTGAGAAGTCGCCGTGTGGCATTCTGTTGATGTCACCGTCAGGTTCTCACTGTCCTTTTCTGGACGGGCAGTTTTGGCCATTCGTGCGAGTACCGCTGGCTTTGGGTGGTGTTGCTATTGCGTCATGGGCGGATTCTTGCATACTCGAGTTTTTCGAGGGCTACCTCGCAGAACAAAAGAGATCCAGGTGATCACGCGATTTGGCCTGAGATGCGACGCGGCCGCAGTCCTAGGAGCTGACCGTGGGACGGCACAGACGATGTGGCGATTGCGCAGTGTAGATATACATGCCGGTCGTTGCAAGTAGGTATTTTTGGAGTCCCAGATCCCAATCTGCTTTAAGCGCCCTGCTGCTTCAATGATCGAGTGGCTTCACTTGTCTCGTAATTTTGGTTGGGGGTGGGCGGGAGTCCAATCTGCATTCAACACTTTCCTGCTTCATGTTTTTCACCTGCTTTCTCCGACCGGCGTGCAATGATGTCAGCGCGTAATCCCCAAATCTGCTTGTTCGTCTCGGATTCCCTTCGGGGATCATCCGTTAAAATTGGAACGAAACAGAGAAGATTAGCATGGCCCCTGCGCAACGATGACACGCGCAAATCGAGGAGTTTATACAAGTGTGCTTGCTCGTCTCGGCGCGGCAGAGGCAGCCCGTACGGGCGCTCGAGTTGCCAGGGGCACTCGGCAATGTACCTGCCCGTCCCGCATCCGCTGCAGGGTCACATCAGCCACGGCTGGCCGCACCGGCGCGCTCATCCTGGCATGATTCTCTTGCACAGCTGTGTTCTAGAGCTCGGACCTCTTCAGTTCCATTCGTCGTTCGTTCTTTCGTCGTTCGCCCTCCCCCCCCCCCCGGGCACGGAAGGAAACTCCTGGGTCCTGGAGGAAGGAGGCGAACGCCTCCTGTCCCTCGCAGCTCCTTGGTGTAAGAGCAGGGGCACGCGTGCCACTGGTTTCCGCGGGGAGTGTTTTCCTTCCCTCCTATCCTCCGCGGCCGCTCATCCCCGCGCGCGCGCGCGCCATCCCAAACAGGCCAGTCGCGGAATGTCGATGACGAGGAAGCGGAGGATGAGGAGGAGGAGGAGGAGGAGAAGGAGGAGGAGGAGTATCGTGGCGTTTGTGTCATGCTTTGACGGGACCCCTTGCGGGGGCCGATGGGGCAGGATCCAATGGGGTGGAGCCGTGGTGGGCCCCGGACACGGCAGGGCCGTGCCTTCGCCGTTTCCGAAAAAGTGTCTCTTGTCGGACAGTTTTGTCGCCGTTTTTCTGCCGTTTCCGAAAAACAAGTGTTTTTTCACAGTTTTTGTTCGCCGCTTCCGTTTTTCGGAAACGGCCAACAGAACGGCGACCGGAAACAGCAAAGAACGGCTCCAAGACTGGAACCGGAGCCGGAACCGGTAAAAACACGGCGACGGAACCGGTAACAAAAACGGCGTCGGAACCGGCAAGAAACGGCAAAACGGAGCCGTCAAGAAAACGGCTTTTCCACTGCCGAGATGATCCTGTCATCGTTTGGGATGGTTTGTCGTCCGTGGCCCCGTGCCAGCAAGCCATCGCTCAGGTGGCAGGGAGATGTGCTAAGCCTCGACTCCTCCCGTGGTTGCCAGACACAGATGTCGGCAGTGCCTGTGGCAGAGTGGTGCGTGGACGTTCACAGCGAGCTGTCGATGTGCATGGTGTGTGAGTGTGTGTGTGTGTGTTACTAGCCTGGAACATATCCCTATCCCCATGCTGGGCACCTCCTCATCACGATGCCAATCTTAGGGATTCCCTTACTTTTTGAGGGCGAATCCCTAAGATTGTCATCGCCTTTTGGCGTGCCAATCTTAGGGATAGGGATACGTTCGAGGCTGGTAAGTGTGTGTGTGTGAGAGAGTGTGTGCACGTGTGTCCTTTGAATTGTGCCCTCAGCGAGCCTGGAACACTGCTGAATGTGCCCCAGGGCCGCCACGATGGATACTGTACGTTGTGCTGCGATGTAGATCTTCGAACGGATCTGTTGCTTGCGCCCGTGCATTCCCAGCGCTGTGCGTTGTAGAATGACACTTGGCAAGCACCGCCTCATCCTCTTCCTCCTCCTCCTCCTTTCCTCCTCCTCCTCCTTTCCTCCTCTCCTCCTCCTCCTCCTCCTTCTCCTCCTTTCCTCCTCCTCCTCCTCATCCTCCTTTCCTCCTCCTTTCCTCCTCCTTTCCTCCTCCTTTCCTCCTCCTCCTCCTCCTCCTCCTCCTCCTCCTCCTCCTCCTCCTCCTCCTCCTCCTCCCCCTCCCCCTCCCCCTCCCCCTCCTGCTCCCCCTCCCCCTCCCCCTCCTCGAGAGCCATGCGATGCTCGCCTGAGGAGTGGGCCGTGAAGATGGCCTGGGTGCTGAGGTGCCTCAACCATCTGATACCCTACCCCGCCGTCGGAGAGTTCTTCGGGCAGCCGAAGGCCCTCGCGGGGGGCTGCGGACGACGAGGGCGGTGGAGTCAAAAAAAGGGGTGGAGGAGACGGGAAAGCAGAGTCCGCGAGGGGGAACGAGGGGCGTGGGAGAGGGGAGGAGGGGGAGAGGAGAAGGAGGGCCGCGGCCGCGCGCGAGGGAGGAGGAGGAGACGGGCAGTACGCGCGGCCGCGCGCGGGGGAGGCGGAAAGGGGAGCGAGGAGGCTCACGAGGGACGAGGGTCGGGGCCTCGAGGGGCCGGGCCGGAGAGCCGCTCCCGCTCCTGCGCCGGCGGCGGCGGCGCGAGGTCGCGAGGAGGGCCGCTCGTCGCGCCTGGGCCCAGCGCGAGGCAGCAAGCTGGGCAGCCCAAGGGTCGGGAGCGGCAGAGAGGGGGGTGATGACTAGGGGGGGGGGTGGATATCATGGCGGGGGCCATGATATTTTCCCCAGATCTCATGGCGCCTCTTCTTGTTTCATTGCGTCCCTGGCCCCCCCGCTGGGCCGCGCACGTGCCGCCGGTCATGATTTGCACCCCCGCCTCTTGGACACCCCCCTCTTGGCCGCTCCCGACAAGTTGGCCTCTGATCGAGGAGCAAGAACTTCAGGGGTGGACAGACCTCTTACCCTGACACGTCGATGAGCGAATTGGCCGTTTTCGGTTCGCGGGAGGGCGTCGCGGCCGTCATTTTTGCGGGTCCAGGTCCGTCGGTTTCGGTCCCAGGTCCTTTTCACTAAAGGGTGGTTTACTAAAGGGAGGTTTGTCCACCGCCGAGAACTGACCTGCAGCCAAGACGCTGAAATAAGGAACCGTTCGGGTTGGGAAGGGGCTCAACGTTCCTTACATTTAGCAGGTCCTTCCATGACTGTTTCTCTTGCGTTCCTCGTCCACGCAGGCGGGTTTGGGCGTTCCTTCTTTCAGCGGCCCGACTGTACAGTCAACCGGCATATTGAGGATGGGTGCAACCTTCCCAGGAGTACCTTTGCATCCTTGCCTCCTCGGCCCAACCCTGGCCACTCTCGTTGGCCGCGCCCCGCTCGGCGGAAGGCTTCGAAGGGGGCGTCCAAGGCCCTTGCATCCTTCTCTTGCATCCTCATGGTACGGGCCGACTGTAGGGGAGCGAGCAATGACATAAACGAGCAGGAGGAGGAGGAGGAGGAGGAGGAGGAGGAGGAGGAGGAGGAGGCAGGGGGAGCGATCATGACGAGGAGCGCTGGGTTTGAGGGCGAGGAGGAGGAGGAGGAGGAGAAAGAGAAGGACGAGAAGGACTAGGAGGAGGAGAAGGAGGAGAAGGAGGATGAGGAGGAGGAGGAGCGTGGGAAGAGTGGGGGGGCACGAACTCGCGTGCATGCCGCTGGTTTCGGTCTTCCACTGGCCAGCGCGGTCCTCGATGGCGTGGTCGCCGCCTGCGCGGCAGGGGCCAGGAAATCCAGATGCGTGCGGCTGATTCGCTACCCCCCCGCTGTGCTATCTTGAAGTCGGGCATGTCCCTCTACAGGAGGAAACTTCAAATCTAGTCAAACATTGATGTTGTTACGATTTTCGACTATGGTAACTATTTGGATCAATGTTTCCCAACCGTCCTGTGGTGTTGGGTCCTCGTTTGAAGAGAGCGCCCCGCGTTACCTCCCGTCCTCCTCCCCCTCCCTCCTCCCCCTCCTTGCCTCTGCCCTCCGCATGTTTCTTTTTCGCGCACCCCTCACACGTTTCGTGGCCCCACACGGAGCTCCACCGAAGGCCCCAGTTGCTGCGTTCGCATGACACCACCGCACCCATCCCGCGGCCCCAGAGGGAGCTCCACCGGAGGCGCCACTGGATGCGCTCGCATGACACCACCGCGCCCAGTTCGGCACACCCCAGAAAGGTTTCGTGGCCCAATGGGGAGTTCCACCGAAGGCCCCAGTTGCTGCGCTCGCATGACACCACCGCGCCCAGTTCGGCACACCCCTCACACGGTCCGTGGCCCCACACGGAGCTGCTCCAGCGCAGGCCTTCGTGTCTGCGTTCGCATGACATCACCGCACCATTTTCGGCACACCCCTCACACGCCTCGTGTCCCCATAGGGAGCTCCAGCCCCAGTGTCTGCGCTCGCATGACATCGCCGCACCATTTTCGGCACACCCCTCACACGTTTCGTGGCTCCATGGGGTGCTCTACCGAAGGCCCCGGCGGCTGCGATCGCATGACACCACCTCACCCATTTCGGCACACCCCTCACACGCTTCGTGGCTCCATAGGGAGCTCCACCGAAAGCCCCAGTGGCTGCGCTCGCATGAAACCGCCGCACCCACGTCGGCACGCCCCTCACACCTTTCGTGGCCCCATAGGGAGCTCCACCGAAGGCCCAAGTCGCATGACACTACCGCACGCGCTTCGGCACACCACTCACACGGTTCGTGGCCCCACAAGGAGGTCCTCCGAAGGCCCAAGTGGCTGCGCTCGCATGACGCCACCGCACCTGTTTGCAGCACACCCCTCACACGTTTCGTGGCTCCATGGGTCTCCACCGAAGGCCCCAGTGGCTGCGATCGCATGGCACCACCGCGCCCATGTTGGCACATCCCTCACACATTCCGTGCCCCGGAAGGAGCTCCACCGAAGACGATACCAGCAATTGCGTTACACACAGTTGCATATGGTTGGGTTCTTCGCCAGGATACCTGATGTGTTTCGCCCAAAACAGCATGTAAGATGACATGCCTGACCTAACACTATCCCCCGTTTCGCCCCCGACAGACAGAAGAGGCGGATAATGAAGCACATCAGCTTAGTACGCACCCCCCCCAGTTCTGGATACGGTCGTACCGAGGTATCTTATTGTTCTTCGTGCTTGTTGGGTGCTCTTGTGCCTCTTGGGGGAGGGTACCCTCGGATGTTCCGTCCGTTTTGGCTGACGGAGGTTCCCATGTTCTTGAAGGATGTTATTCTGGCTCAGGTCCGCCTGGAAGTCTCGGCAGCGAGCGGGGGGGGGGAAGTGAGCAGGGGCGGGCCTATTCAGAAGGCTCTGAGGCCCCCCAGCCTTTGAGAAGTGTTCTGGGCCTTCCCCGGAGACAGAGCAGGTCCGAGGCCTCTTGAGAAGCCCCGCCGCCTTCTCGCAAGTCCCTCTCCTTCTGAGGAGTCCTCCTCCTCCTCCTCCTCCTCCTCCTCCTCCTCTTCCTCCTCCTCCTCCCTCCTCCCTCCTCCTCCTCCTCCTTCTCCTCCTCC